TCCAGCATTCACTGCCATATAGGAGGACTGATATTACATAACAGTTCAGCTCTCTTTTCTTTGTTTCTGTTGCTTCAAGTCTCTTCTTCATCTGTGAGGAGATTGTCCAGTATTCATTGCCATATAGGAGGACTGATATTACATAACAGTTCAGCTCTTTTTTCGTTGTTTCAGTTGCTTCAAGTCTCTTCTTCATCTGTGAGGAGATTGTCCAGAATTCACTGCCATATTGGAGGACTGATATTACATAACAGTTCAGCTCTCTTTTCTTTGTTTCTCTTGCTTCAAGTCTCTTCTTCACCTGTAAGGAGATTGTCCAGAATTCACTGCCATATTGGAGGACTGATATTACATAACAGTTCAGTACTCTTTTCTTTGTTTCTCTTGCTTCAAGTCTCTTCTTCACCTGTAAGGAGATTGTCCAGAATTCACTGCCATATTGGAGGACTGATATTACATAACAGTTCAGTACTCTTTTTTGTTTCTTTGTTTCTCTTGCTTCAAGTCTCTTCTTCACCTGTAAGGAGATTGTCCAGAATTCACTGCCATATTGGAGGACTGATATTACATAACAGTTCAGCTCTCTTTTCTTTGTTTCCAGCCAACCACATAAAAATAGATACAAACATTGTAAACTTGTGTAAAAGACAACGTTGTAATTCGTAAGAAAAAGAAAAGAAACCCCAGAACAATGAAACGATAAAAGGACTTGCCTAAGTCATAAAAATATTTTGGGGAAAGATTTTAAAGATTATAATCCAAAAAATGAAATGACAAACGGAGAAATCTTTGAAGAGGTTTGTATTGCAAATGTAAACAGAGGAAAGATTAAGAACTAAAGACATGAATGCAAACAAACTGCTGCCTTTAATTATGAATCACAAAGAGAAACTATTTGGGCGAAGAAGTACATGAAAACTGATTTCTTAAAACCAACTTTTTAGTGATGAATGAAGAACTAAATTCGATGCACTTGATGTCTGGGCAGATGTTTGGGTCCCTCCTGCAATTGTCAACTAGAAAATAGGAGAAGTAGAAAGAAAGAAAGAAAGAAAGAAAGAAAGAAAGAAAGAAAGAAAGAAAGAAGAAGACGACTACAAATAAAAAAGAAGAGTAAGTAGAAAAGAAAGAAAGAAAGAAAGAAAGAAGACGACTACAAATAAAAAAGAAGAATAGGTAGAAAAGAAAGAAAGAAAAAAGAAAGAAAGAAAGAAAGACAGAAAGAAAGAAAGAAAGAAGACGACTACAAATAAAAAAGAAAAGTAGGTAGAAAAGAAAGAAAGAAAGAAAGAAAGAAAGAAGACAACTAAAAATAAAAAAGAAGAATAAGACAAAAAAAATAAAAAGAAAATAGAAAAGAAAGAAAGAAAGAAAGAAAGAAAGAAGACGACTACAAATAAAAAAGAAGAATAGGTAGGAAAGAAAGAAAGAAAGAAAGAAAGAAGACGACTACAAATAAAAAAGAAGAATATGTAGAAAAGAAAGAAAGAAAGAAGACGACTACAAATAAAAAAGAAGAATAGGTAGAAAAGAAAGAAAGAAAGAAGACGACTACAAATAAAAAAGAAGAATAGGTAGAAAAGAAAGAAAGAAAGAAAGAAAGAAGACGACTACAAATAAAAAAGAAGAATAGGTTGAAAAGAAAGAAAGAAAGAAAGAAAGAAAGGAGACGACTACAAATAAAAAAGAAGAATAGGTAGGAAAGAAAGAAAGAAAGAAGACGACTACAAATAAAAAAGAAGAATATGTAGAAAAGAAAGAAAGAAGACGACTACAAATAAAAAAGAAGAATAGGTAGAAAAGAAAGAAAGAAAGAAAGAAGACGACTACAAATAAAAAAGAAGAGTAGGTAGAAAAGAAAGAAAGAAAGAAAGAAGACGACTACAAATAAAAAAGAAGAATAGGTTGAAAAGAAAGAAAGAAAGAAAGAAAGAAAGAAAGAAAGGAGACGACTACAAATAAAAAAGAAGAATATGTAGAAAAGAAAGAAAGAAAGAAAGAAGACGACTACAAATAAAAAAGAAGAATAGACAGAAAAGAAAGAAAGAAAGAAAGAAGACGACTACAAATAAAAAAGAAGAGTAGGTAGAAAAGAAAGAAAGAAAGAAAGAAGACGACTACAAATAAAAAAGAAGAATAGACAGAAAAGAAAGAAAGAAAGAAAGATGTAGCTACAATTTAAAGACAAAACTTAAAAGTAGAAATTTATACAAAAAGAAAAGAAGATAACTACAAATTAAAAAAGAGAATGATCAAAAATGAAAAAAGGATGAAAAATAAGAAAGAAAGAAGTAAAAGAGAGTACACATTAAATTTATGAACTAGAAAGAAAGAAAGAAAGAAAGAAAGAAAGAAAGAAAGAAGGAAGGAAGGAAGGAAGGAAGAAAATGGCGTAGGGAAAATCTGGGCAAATGGAAAGAATTTAATAAAACTACAGAAGGCAAAAAAGTGAAATAATGGTGAACAAAGGCTTTATTCATCAAGAGCGAATCCGTCTTCAATAAGGTGATAAATCGTACGAACATTTTCGAGATAAGACGTCGCTCGACTTCCAATTGCTTCAGTCACACACAGAGCCGTCTTTTATGGCCGAGCCTTGTGACTAGTGACAAAATAATATAGAGGAAAATCCGTCCATGTTCTCAGGTTGGCCTCAAGGGCTTTCATCTGCTGACTATGTTCATTCTTCGCCTGAACGACTCTAAGAGACTCGCCTTAGACTGAACTCAGTTTTAGAATAATAATAATAATAATAATAATAATAATAATAATAATAATAATAATAATAAATTGTTTATCTTCGCATCAGATATTCCCGGGAACTATAGCAGAAGTCAAGTGACAGCAAATAGGCTTAAAATCCTAAGTGCCTATATTTCTAATTTATTTCTATAGTAAATAATTTCCAATTCAATTCTATACTAAATGATTTCCAATTCAATTCTGTGGTGAATCATTTCCGATTCATTTTTATAGTAAATGATTTCCAATTTATTTCTATAGTAAATAATTTCCAATTCAATTCTATACTAAATGATTTCCAATTCAATTCTGTAGGGAATCATTTCCGATTCATTTTTATAGTAAATGATTTCCAATTTATTTCTATAGTAAATAATTTCCAATTCAATTCTATACTAAATGATTTCCAATTCAATTCTGTAGTAAATCATTTCCGATTCATTTCTATAGTAAATGATTTCCAATTTATTTCTATAGTAAATAATTTCCAGTTCAATTCTATGCTAAATGATTTTCAATTCAATTCTATAGTAATGAGGTCTTACAGAGATTGCAAACAAGGAGGAGGCTTATACTTAACATCAAGTTTCTGGGATACATAATGAGGAAGGAGGGCCAGGAGAATCTGATACTCACGGGTCGAATAGAGGGAACGGGAATCAATAGAAAACAACGTATGACATACATAGCGAACTTAAGCAAGTGGATGAGAGAACGTGGTCCTGGGAAGGAAGCAGAGAAAAGGAACTTGAAAGCTGCAAGGGATAGGAGGAGGTGGAGAGCCATGATCACCTAAGTCCTGAAAGGATATGGCACATATAAAGAAAGAAAGAAATGATTTCCAGCTTAATTCTATAGTAAATGATTCCCAGTTTACATCTATAGTAAATAATTTCCTGTTTAATTCTATAGTAAATGCTTTCTAATTCATTCCTGTAATAAACGATTAATAAGTAATTTCCATTTCATCCATACGACAAAAAATTTCAAATCCATCTATAGTAATTCCCAATTTAAATGTATAGCAAATAATTTCCAATTTAAATGTATATCAAATAATTCCCAATTTAAATCTATAGCAAGTAATTTCCAATTTAAATCTATAGTAAATAAAATTTAAATTTATGGTAAATAATTTCCAATTTAAATTTATAGTAAATAATTTCCAATTTATAACTTTAGCACATAATTTCCAATTTCTATCTATAGCAAATAATTTCCAATTTAAATCTATAGCAATAATTTTCATTTTATATCTATAGCAAATAATTACCAATTTAAATTTATAGCAAATAATTTTCAATTTAAACTTATAGTAAATAATTTCCAATTTATTCCTGTTCAATTCTAATAAACTCTAGTAAATAATTTTCAATTTCTCTCTATAGTATATGGGCATCTGGCAGAGTGGTTGGAACGCTCGCCTTCTGACCATGTGACCCGGGTTCGAATCTCACCGTGATCGATTTATTAGGAAGCTGATTGCTATCGATCTGGAGAAGGGAAACCACAGTACGAGTCGAAATTGGGAAGATCCGAAGCTCGAAGTCGCAAGTCATCGTGACCGAGGGTTTCAGCGTGATGGCTTTGTTCAGATTGTTGATCTCGCTAGAAACTGTCAGCATAGTTGCAGTATAAAACACAGGTGGCCTCTTTGGGTGGATAAACCATAGGTGGGGGTCTGAGCAGGCATGTGCAATAGAGATTGGCAAGCCGACGGGTATTCTAGAATACGAATGGCCAGTCATCAACTTTCTATATTAAGTGATTGCCAATTTAATCCCTTAGTAAATAACTGAAAATTAACTTCATAGCAAATGATGTCCAGTTTAATCCAACAGAAAACAATTTTCAATTCCTCGCTGTCGTAAAGGATTTTAAATTAAATTCACATATTCTGGGAATCAAGTCAAAGAAAATCTCTTTTATGCATTAAGGCTCACCGTGACATTAATGGGTATTATGGGCATTAAATCTTTAGTCAACATCGTTTTTATACGAATATATAATACATGACTGATATTTTTTTATTATAATATCAGTAGGCCTAAATGGATTACATTCCAACATGTAGTAAATATCTGGTTTAGTTCTATAGTAAATAATATCCGATTTAGTTGAATAGTAAATGATATCTGATTTAGTTCTATATTAAATGATATCCGATTTAGTACTATAGTGTAATGATATCCTACTTAGGGTCTATTGTTAATGATATCCGATTTAATTTTATGTATCACACCACTCGCATATTCAAGATTACAGCAGCAGGTGTTCCTAAGCGGTCACTCATCTAGGTGCTGATCAGGTTCTACGTTGCTTAACTTCGCTGGTCGTATGAAGACTGGTGTTTCAACGTGATACGACCGTACGACCCGTGTTTCAATAAGATGGAGTTATGTTTTTGTATTTGGACAGTTCACGGCCTATCGATGAAGCGGCGGGGTCTTAGTCAGAGTAGTCTGGCGACAATGACTCCCCCCCCACTCCGGAGAATATGCCTGAGAATGACGTTGGCCCATGGGTAGAGATATGAGTACCCCCAGTGAAGCCTACCATGTGTTACGCTCTATAACAGCTCATGATAATTATACACAGAATGAGACTGAAGCTCTTCCCGCCCTTCAGGTCAGGATCATAGTATAGCCTCTGTTCGTTTCTTCTCTGTCCAATTTATGTCTTCGGGCATTGCCCAGCTCCCGCTTTTCCTCACGAGGTTCTCGACAACACCCAGAGACGGATATGCAATGTGATAGATCCTGATCTGGCATCTCGACTCCAGTCACTTTCTCACAGACATACTGTGGTTTCCATCTGTATATTTTGTGATGTCAACGAACACTCGTTGCCACTTTTGTGATGTCAACGAATACTCGTTGTCATTTTCGTAATGTTCGTTGTAGTAGAGACTTTGTAATCGCAGATACAACTATAGTAATGCCGTTGAACAATATTGGTGTCAGACGCCTTTGAATAACACTTGCACTAATAGTACTTGCTCGATAATACTCACTCGAATAGTAATCCATATAGTGATATGAATAGAGAAATAGTATAGTGAATAGAGTACAGAATAGCGGTCCGTATACTAATAGAGGATAGACTAGAAATGTCGATCCGAATAGTAATAGAGCATAGAATAGAAATGCGATCCATTTGAGGTCACGCTACATTATACTTGTGCGTTTCCTCTATGGTCACGTGATCTACTTAATTCAATAATGGGATCGCCTCTGTTTACTCACTGGCGATCTATGTTCAAACTCAAGTGTCGGCAGAGACACTTTATTCCTATATAACACTTTTCTAGAAATATTTTCACGGCAACTGACGAGCTATTTTCACTGGTACATCCAACTGCATGAATTTAAGCGTGCTACTAGGTTGGCATCTTGGTTCCACCCTTTTACTGTCGAAAACAGTTCAATATAACCGCCTCTCCTACTCCAACAGCTTGCACTTCCGACAGTGGTACTCCCTTCCTCTTACTTGCTTCCCTGATAGCTATAATCTTCAAATATTCAAGTGTAATATCAATCGACATCTTCTGATGCCTTGATCTTGTTCCCCGTCCTTCTCTATATTCTTCCCTCAAACCCACCTTTTTACTCTTGCTCTCACTCTCTGTAACCCGTTGTATGCCAAGGGTACTCCCGCCTTGCTTGAAGTGAAATGCTTGGAAAAAGAAACTGAAATGCGTTAAGAGATATCTGGTCCGGGGAATTCCATCACTGCCACGGCACGTACCCCGTTGCATTAAAGTTGGCGGATAGCATCGCAGTGGTCGCGCCGACTGGGCAATTTTTGCTGCGTATGGGCATACCCTAGAGAGGCGGGTAAATACAGGATTAGAGTGTAGTATCTGCACCCTTTTTCACTTGAAGGCACACTGCAAATCGGTATGATTTTTAAGAATATTTCCTTATGGCTTAAAACTAAACTTAATTCCGAAAAGTCTTCTTTTGCTATTATAAATGGTGTTCCAATAACTTGGATCGATTTTAAATGTGAATTAAGTTTAAGCATCTAATGATTTTTTTTTCTTTTTCTTTCAGATTTAACAACTTGAGTCTTTGGCAATTCCAACCACGGAAAGATTTACAATCAAACAACGTGTTAAGTTTATCGAAGCCTATAACGAAAATGGACGTTCAAACAGAAATGCATTTCTCGCACTTAGCGATTTCTTGTGTCAACATAATCGACCAACCGAGAGTGCAATTAGAAACGATGTAACTTTGTCTTGGAGAGGTTCAATTCCTGCGCGCGATGACGAACAGAGGGGTCTGGATTTTCAGCCACATTCTCGTGAACTGCAGCAATGATTTCAGCTGAACAGCTTAAACGAGCACGCAATGGTGTTCTCACATCTGCCACCGACCCAGTTTGTTTGAATTTACAATTTTTCCAATCCCACTCTTGAAACTTTAACACGTTATTTGATTGATAATCTTTTCATGGCTGAAATTGTCAAAGACTTGTTAAATCTGAAATAAAAAGAAAAAAAAATCATTAGACGCTTAAATTTAATTCACATTTCAAATCGGTCACATCATCTCTCGAAACAGTTGGCCATTACGATCGTGTGACATGATCGTGTAATCCAAGACATGCGCGGCCGCTACATGACAACCAACAACAGATTTGCTAGTGGCATCCTAATCAGCAGTGAAGGTTAGGTTTAAATGTGTAAGCTAACTGCAACAAATTTTCCTAGTGGGTAAAAGAGTTGGTTGTGAATTTGGTGACGTAGTGGTTGTGGGTTCAATCCCTGGGTCGGGCAGTGTGCTTGCATTCGGTGGGAACGGGCGAGAAATAACTGAACAGTGCTAAATAAAAATAACAACTAGATGATATTCCAAGACATGTACGGAACGGTTATTGGCGCCAAAGTGCAATAATCGTTCAAATTAATACACCGGGTAAAGGCATGAGTCAATACTTCCCCTCTTCAGAAATATCGATTAAACAGTAGCAGAACATGGGGTTCTCTCGTCTTGGTTGGCACTCATTCGAGATCCTTATTTTGAATTCAAAACCGCAGAGAAAACATCACAAAATACCCCATTTCAGACAAAGGAAGCAGTGGAGAGCCATGATTGGTTATGGACTGAAAGAACATGGCAACTCAAAACATTTGTAGCGTAGTTTTTTAAAATGTCATATTGTTAACGGAAAATAATAATTTATTTTTCAGCATAATTCCTTCCTTGTAAATGCCCTTGATCCAGTGGCAAAATAATACACGCTTGTATCGAAAATCAAACTGGGAATATTACACTTAAATTAAGTACGGAGTAGTATATGCCAATTTACGGACTTACTGAATCCAAAATTTTATATATATATATATATATATATATATATATTGATGTGTGTTTCATTAAATAATATAGACAAGTTGTGTCTATTTTATGTAAATTCTTTTCATATCTTATAAGCTTAATAACATTATCATTAAAAGATGAAAGAAAATCACAATATTGATACATTTTTTAATCCTATCTAAGCTTTCGGCTTAAGCCATTATCAAAGATGAAAATTACATTATTGTATATGTAATGTTGCTGTTTCAAATAAGAGGGGTTTTTTAACCCGAGTAAAAGTTCTGGAAACGCGTACTTGTGTATAATACGCGCCCACTTCCTTTCCCTTACTTTTCGTATAAAATTTCTCGTATTATAGACAAAGTAAACACGCTATATGAAGATGAATGCTAGCCAATTTCCTCACAGATGATAAGAGGATTTTAGGGAACAAATTCTACGGAATAATGCTGAGAGTAACATAGATAGCAAAGTTTCGGCTGTTGTACGCTCCGGACTTTGTCAGGTGATTGGGTCTCTGAGATGAGCTATTTTGATTACTTGCATTATTTACATTATTCGGACTGTTATCCTCATCTTTATTGTCATATTCACAAAGTTTCGGCTGCTGTACGCTCCGGTCTGCTTCAGGTGATTGGAATTTCTGACCAAAGTCTTTATTTCGTCTACCGGGAGGTAGATTGTTCCAGTTCCACGTGCCATAAAATAAACCTAAATCGGGTGTCATGAGGGCACATAGCCCAGTGGATAAAGACGTTGCTTAGATCCAGTGACTAGGCCCAGAGTGTTGTGAGTTCAATACTAGTCCCCAGCCGTGGTGAATCAAAAACTTGGAGAGATAAGTTAAAGGGAGATAACTGAGACATCCGGAAGAGGCATGGATTTTTAGTCATTTTATTATAAATATCTATTGTTGGTAATTTTACTATAAAAATTTATTTTTGTACTTTCATACTGATTTTTTTTTTTAGGGGTTCACTATGTGGTACCAGTTGGGGTCAGGATGGACCTGGGAACAAGAGCAATTAAGAGGTGGTTCCCCTTTGCTCAAAAGCTCCAATCTGCAAACCAGAGGCCTTGCTGCTGGATGTAGTTTATCGTCAGAATCAGGATGATAGCCTTATTCATCTTTATGGGCTTACGGCCTCATCATGATGTTAAGCAAAGTCGAGCCTGGTCAGTAATAATAATTTATTTTTCAGCATAATTCCTTCCTTGTAAATGCCCTTGATCCAGTGGCAAAATAATACACGCATGTATCGAAAATCAAACTGGGAATATCACACTTAAATTAAGTACGGAGTAGTATGTGCCAATTTACGGACTTACTGAATCCAAATTTATATATATATATATATATATATATATATATATATATATATATATATATATATATATATAAAACATTAGGCAGAAATATGATTTACATACAAAGAAATAATCACACATAGAATTAATCAGAAGTATTAATGCGATTATTGGCGACATCCATCGCTAGAAAACATAATATATGCATTAAAATCCTGTTCATCCATAGTGCGAGTCTTGATCCTTGTCGAAAAACTTGTTGTCTGTAGTTTTTCAGTTGATTTGATGTTAAAATGCTAGTACTTATGAATAGTCTTCTATTCATCATCAGGCATGTGTTTTTTTTTTCTTATAAAATCAAAAACTTGAGACGATATACCTGTATGTCGACCGAAAGATGTTTTTTGAATATCTGCTATTATTGACGGTTGTGTAAGATCTCGGAACGTGCAAAGACGTAACGCTAAGTTTTCAAAATTTTTAAGTGAGAATTTTATTTAAATATTTCTTGTGATGTGTTAAATCCACGTATTCTATTTTTACAAGTGTATTCAGTTTTTGTCATGAACTAAGTATATAGTTCAATAATATAGTGTAATGTCTTAGTAGTAGTTTTTTTTTATAGGAATTTTTATGTACTGCGGATCGATAGTTTTTAATAAACATAAACATTAGGCAGCATATGATTTACATACAAAGAAATAATCACACATAGAATATATATATATTGATGTGT